TGAAGTAAATTATTGTTTATTAATTTGAAAAACGGTCTGAAACCACCTCAAAATTTAATAATTATTTCCAAAGAGTAATAGATTATTTTCGGAAACTCTGGTGTTTATATGACTCAAAGCATTTTTCATTTCTACAAACACAGAACATGTAAGAACAATATAAAGGGCTTCTTAGCATTTGAACAGTGTTTATGTCCCTATTAAAAAGTGAGTATTACAAGAAAATGTTACGAAATTTTTAAAAATTTAAGTTAGGTTTAAATCCTGATTTCTGTTTCTGTCATGTATTTGATTATATTCACCATTTGTGTGCTGCCTGTTACAGAGTAATGAAATAACATAAAGTCACTGCATTAGCCACTTATTTGAACAAACCCAGTTATACTTAGATTGATTTCTTTATTGTCCCACAAATAAACAAAGAATATTCAAGGTTACAGCTTTACTTGAAGTTTTCTAACATGGTAAATAATTTTTAAAAGTCAGTTTCAAAATATCTTAGTGAAAAATTAAGTGTATCAAATCATATTATTCTTTAACATATATAATTAAGAAATATTAAAGTAAGTATTTCATTTAGGAACTAGTTTTTTTACTTTTTAACTACTTTTTATTCCTTTCTTTGGTATTAAATAGGCATAATTCTGGTGGCAATACCTTGGCTACCAAGCCTAGCTCTGCACAGTGTATAGCTCCACATAGGGACACAAAGGATATTGTGGAAGATTAACTAATCTAAAAAACAATCGTGGAAACTTGAAAGTTTCTAGAAGAATGGAACTCTTTAAATAAATCTTATTGTTGTGAACAACATAATTTTGTGAGAACTACTTAAAATTCCCATTTGTCTACAAATCTATCAGTACTACATTTAATCATTTGCCTGTAAGAGACTGTAGGGAACATCTGGAACATTCTCCTGCAGGACCTACTCACAGATTTTGATAGTATCATTCTCATTCACATATGACCCTGTCTAATAAGACACAAATAAACCATTTTCAAAGGAGGAAAAGAAATCCCTGTTCTGCTGCATTTTAGAGGACAGTATTGGAAATGGTAAAATGCATCATATG